TAGTTAGGGACATAGGCAACAAACTAGTGCAATTCACAATTGGGAAACATTTTGCGCCATTATCCACCTAACATTAACAATATTTAATTCCTTATCTCTACTACACAATTGTGTTGTTGAGTACCATGTGTTCTCTGTCACTATTAGATGGGAATTAACCACTAGTACATTTATGTATTGAAGATGAAGGTTTCTCCTCTGTTTGGGTACCCACTTATTGGAGAGGCATATTTCTTCTTGTTTGCACAAAATGACTTGAGCAGGTGTCTAGGTGATATTGTCTGGCTTAATGTTCCAAGCCAGTTTGTCAATGACATTTGAAGTGAATTAACCTGGTTCCATAATTCATGGCGGTGATTGAAATTTCTCATTGATGGTTCAATGAAAATATTAGAGCTAGCTAGAACAGGATAACATTTTCCATTCTACTTTCTTTTCAACCTGTTCCTACATTATCTTTGGAAGCACCATTGATCTTTTACAAGCCGTTTCTTACCCCAATATTTTAAATTAACTACTTGATGTGTCGTGGTCTACCAAACTTCCTTTAAGCCTTCAATCAGTGGCATATCTTATCTCCTTGCAGCTTAATGGATTGTCTAGAGCCTTTGGCATTATCCTAGGCTCTTTATCATCTTGCGGAGCAATCATGAATGTTTCCCTCTCAATCACCCAGTGATGACGTGGAAAATTTTCACATTTGCTACCACGCAACTAAGAATGTAGAGTATTCTTCTCTAATGGAGTAATCCATTAGTAGGCACATCGCTCCCACTGTCCCTAGGATATTGGAAATTTCTTTCCATTCTCAACTAGGCTACATAGAGTGCTATGCTTAGAATTCTCTATCTTATAGAGTTCCAAAACTCTATTTACGTCACCTTTACTAAGAAAACTTTATGTGACTTAATTACACTACCACAAAGCCACTTACCTATATGTACATGGCCCGGAGGGTTTGAATGACCTCATACAATAATGCGTCACATGACCCTTTGTGTTTACAAGACAGCACACAATGATGCGCTATAGAACCCTAGGTCTTAACTTCGCAATTTATGAGAAGTAAAAATAAAGATAAGCTGCTTAATGGTTACAGATCGCCCATAAATGGCTCTCTGTTAACCCATTACTCAAAATGGAGTGTCAAAGCTAATATGGAGGGCACTTAGTTAGGGATATAGGCAACAAACTAGTGCAATTCCCAATTGGGAAACATTTTGCGCCATTATCCACCTAACATTAACAATACTTAATTCCTTATCTCTACTACACCATTGTGTTGTTGAGTATTAGGAATAATCAATTTTCTAAGCATCAATTTCTCTTCACAGAGTTTTTTCTAAAAAATAACTCAAATAGATACTCGCCACCTTGGTCAAAACTAAAAAGCACGAAAGTTGTTATCTAATTGATCTCAACCTCATATGTGCAATGTCAAAAATCATCTCAAAACTTTTGACTTATGGGAGATCAAATAGTCTTGACTCAGATGCGTATCGTAATCTATAAATGTGTCGAGATTGAGGCTTAGCTATCATACCCTCACACATATCTAGTCACAAATATCATAGTGGAGTAAATGCGCCAATACAAATGACCCTCTATGGCTTTCCTACTTACTTGTGCGCACCCATTGCGAACAAAGTTACACATTCACATGAGAGCAGGATGTCATAAGCGAGTGGGCCCGAGAAGGCCTACTCAAACCATCGTGTCATCATCTCATTAGTGTGATTAAGCATAATAAGCCACTGATTCATGACCAATGTCATCAACTAATTCCAATCATCTTAATGTGTGAGTTCTCGAAGACAAGTTTAAAAGGTTTAGGCCCAACTAGGTAATGACTCACGACTAATTCATATTCACTAGATCATAAAAGGATGTCATGAGATATCAAGTGCGCCTAAGTCGTAAATTTAACTAGTAAGTGCTAATCCCCTGCACCTTCAAGTCAATTTTATTCTCCATACACTTTACTGCATATAGCTGAAAGATGACGATACTCCTTTTGCCATTTCTATTTCTCGCTTCATAGTTACTTGCAATTAATTCTACTATCCACAAGAAAGAGAGAATAAGCTATTAACTATGACAGCTCCCCAAGTAACTTAAGCGCGAATTAGGCTAAAGAGTCTAATTCAACACAATACTCTCACGAGCCATGCGTCAAATTCTTAGAGTCATAACAACCTTGTCGGCCTTGACCTTCTCATTACTATGCTGCAGCATTTGCGTTTAGTGGTAAATGTTATTCAAAACGTTAGCCTAGTAAAGAAATCACACAAAGAAGCACCTCATCATGTCTCACACTCAAGTGTGGAAACAGTAAGTGTCCAGACTTAAATAAGTTGGCAATGCTAATAGATTTTGCAGCTTCTAAGCGCTAATCTTTTAATTTCACGTGATATTTCAACACACACTATTATAGTGCATGAAATTTTTGCTCCATCCACTCCCAATAATTGGGTAGAGAGCAAAACACTGCTCATACTGGCTATTCGTCTTACATTTAATGACTAATTTATTTAAGCTCGCATTTCTTGGATGACGTGACTCTTGAATGTTTCTTCATCCAATGATGTAACATTATTTACAAGTCAAATTACAAAGTCAATCCGCGCAGCTCAATAGTCAAGATCATATACAGATCTACTGAGGGCTTACTAATTTCATTATTCCAAAACTCGCCAACCAAAACTACGTAGCGTGCCGCTAACCATAGCGTACACATTAGTTTTTATTATGCCAAACAAGGCAACAAAATCACGGCAACTTTGAGTCATGTTTCCTTACTTTGGCTCAATTAAGACTTGACCTAAAGTCTCCAAGACTTTTGCTTATCTAAAGAATGGGATTGCATTGTTCACATTTGAACATCTTTACTAAGTCTAGGTCAACCAATTAACTTCCATAAGCTAAGTCAATTTAGAGAGAAATTTGCATTGGGATTAATTTGATTAGCATAATATAATTTTGCCACAAAAATCTAAATTAAATAGTGACAATATTACACAAGTCACAAGATCAAAAATCCGCTATGCTCGTAATCATCTCTTGCGCCACAGGTGACAATTATCCAAAATTTAATTTAATTTATGCGCAAAATATTGGTTTTCGGGAGTTAATCTACAAAGATTTTCCTCAACCAAATAACCTCCCACTGACTATGGCATGTCTAAAAGCATGATAAAAAAATTCTAATTCCATACAATTGCATCATAACGTAGATTCACAATCAATACATGCTATGTTACATTTAATAACGGAATTAAAATAAAAAATAATTAATCATGCTATTCTAATCACAACATATTACAAACCCTAAAAAAAATAATATGCTGTATTTAATATTCAAATTATGCCATAACAGAAACTGTATCACTTCTGAAATTTTCTGAAATTTTTCTGAAATTTTCTGAAATTCTAAATAACTAATAAACACACATTAAATTAGAAATAAAAAATCCAGAAACTGATAAATATGAAAAAATTATTCCAGTAAATAGAAAAACATTTCAGAAGTCTAAAAAAAAAAATTTCAACCCCAGAAAATAATTTACGCAATACCAGAATCATTTTAAAGCATAAATAATGAATTATAATCACAGGAAAAATACTTTTACTTCAATATAATAAGCACACATAATAGTGATGCTAATGGAGTCCATCCCCTATCGGAGGAAAAACGGCACTGCTCAGCGTGCGCGGCGCGCGTGTGTGGCGCGGAGGGCACGCACAAGGAAAGCACGGAACATCGCACGCGTGGAGGTGCGTGAGAGCGCGTGGAAGCCTCCCACGGCGTCAGGTGGGGCGTGAGGCCCACGCTTCGCCTTCTAGGGTGTTTTCTGGTTCGATTTTTGTACTGCCGGACTCCATTTTTCACAATAAAAACATTTATGGCATTAAAAATAACATTTAATGAACATAAAAATGACGTGTATCACATTCTCAATCAATGAGAGTTGAAGTGCAAAAAACCGTGCACTTCATCTTCCTCCTCCATTAATTTTCATGCATATAATGTGTATATATTTATATAAAAAAAATACACATATTTTAATGCATAAAAAATAAGCACGAAAAAACCCATATAGGCTCTGATACCAATGTAAATCATAAAGCATAATAACGCAGCGGATAAAATATTAGAATCATACCTTGTTGACAAGAACCTCGTGGGTAAATCACGTGCTTCTAGAATCTGATCAATCAACCCAGCAGTGGAGTGATACTATAAAATGAGTATCACCCACACAAGTCACAGTGCAGAGGCTTGATCGTTGTTTTAATGGAAGAGAGTCAGAGAGAGAGTTTTTGGTAAAAAGGTTAATGAGAGAGAGTCAGAGAGAGTTTTTAGAAAAAAGGTTATTAGTAAAAATCACATAACGTATATCTGATATATGTGTATGTTTAGATTAACCATATAATCTGATATATAACCAATATCTATCTATCCATCTATCCATATCTATTGATATGATAGATATAGATATCCTGGATGGTTATCCAAATAAGTTTTGAATTCAAATTCAAACTTACATGGATAAGATTCAAAAGGTTCAGTTTCAAAAGGTTCAAAGGGTCATGCCACATGTGCACTCAATTTCTAACATATGCAGAGCTTGCCTTTTCATTTCTTTCACATTCTCGCCGTACACGTTGATCCAACGCAACTTTCGATATAATATTATTGTTATGTGCCTAAAACATGAAGATTAATTTCATAAGTTGCCTAAAATATGAATATTATCATCTACTGTTTTATACTTTTCTCTTCATTTTTCTATCCTTTTAATTTACTTTATCTTAATTCTCTTTCCTTCTGATATTTTGTAAAAAAATTGTAAACCTTTTCATTCTATATCCCTCCCCCCCTTATTTCTTTTTTCTTCTCTTATTTATGTTCACGCCAATAGTGAAAAGCCAAAAAACGAATAATAATAATTTAAAACACATATAATATTTTTGTACAAATGCTATTTTAGCATGCTTCAAAAAAAAGATTTCACAAATTTACATGAAATTGTTTACTATAAAAACAGTATATGGCACTGTGGAAGTAGTATGTCAATTGTACATTAAAAAAAAAAAACATGATCGAGGTTCATGCTCCAAAATAAATATGTCAAAAAAAGAACTTAAAATGGAAATGTTGAAAAGCCATGCTACTGAACATCAATTTTCCTTTTCCTTGGCCGAAACGGTGGTCTTGTCGTTCTTCTTCAACAATGACTTGGCAATTTCTTTTTCCTTTGCCTACAACAAATAAATATATATGTAGAAAGTTTTTTAAAAAAATGTAAGTAAGAATATACGGTGTTTTGAATAAAAAAAATCTATATAATTAAATTGGGCCTACCTCTCGAACACGGATGACATTAAGGTCACGCTCATCGCAGATAACAACGTTAATATTTCTTTCTTGAAGAAATTGAACCTAAAAACACAAAAGAATTAAAGGTAAGAAAAATAAAAAATGTATACATGTAAGAAAATGAGTAAAAGGAATCGATATTACAGTTCGACGTAGGTCTCCATCCATCTGTAAATTATACGAAAAAAGCATTTTGTTATAAGAAAATTAGATTAAAAAAAAAAGTAATGAAAAGAAAAGAAAAGAAAATTGACTTTTGCTTATAAGAAAGGTGTATTTTTTTTCAAATAAGTAAAAAAGAAAACAACTTGCATGACCAAAAATAGTAATGTTGTCCATAATTGGCAGTTGAAGGTCAATGGTGTCTCAACCTGAAAGTGTCTGGTTATATAAATTTGACAAAGATAACTGTAAGAAGGCAAAATGAGGTTTAATAATTGCCATAATGAAAAATTAATTAACACAAAATTAACAACATCCTAACTTATTTTAGTTAACAACCTACTTTAAGAAGTTCGTCTGTGCATGAAATTGAACTACTACAGGATAGAAGAAAAATTATAAATTTTTTTTGTGTTCAATATACATTAAAAAGGATAGAAGAAAAATTAAATCCTCTCATAGAAATCTTCATCATTTTTCTCTATTGGCTAAAATGTAAAACTATTACAATATATGATTTTGTGGTTAATTCTATATAGTAATTTTGCATTGACAACGGTTAATTCTTATAGATTTTATTGCCCACTCTTCCTACTAATAACTAATGTATACCACAATATAAAAAAAAAGAGTAAATTAAAAAAAATATAAATTATACTACTTGTGAATAAAATTTAGCAAAACTTAAATATAGAAATTTAATTACTAATTTTTCATTTTAAAATGTGAAAAAAAAATAAGTAAAAAAGTACAATAAAAATTTATAAAAGGCTCACCACACAGTAACTGGATAATTACAAATACCTTTCGTGTTATCTATATAATTACAAATACCTTTTTCAATACACATCATAAAAATTATACTACAAAGTAGCTTATTTACTCCAAGGAGTAATACTCCCATAAAAATCATAAAAAAATTATTAATTTTTTTTAAAAAAATAAGTTTAAGTTTTTTCAAAAGTCTTGATAAACATCTAAAAAGTAATATTTTTTGTTTGAAAATTTCCAAAAATAAAATTTAAAAAGCTAAATAAACTGGATTTTTTTAGAGAGAGAAGCCTAAACATTTTAAAATAGTAGTTCAATAAAAAAACCAAATTAAAAATAGTTCACGAAAGAAAAAGAAAAAGAAAAGGTCATCAAATAAAAAGGGTTAACTTTTTAATGTTCCCTTTTCCTTTCAATTAACAAACTTATTTACTCTAATAAGTTAGACGACACCGTAGCTTATTCAATCACAAATATCTTTCCTTAACCCATTTTTCCATGCTTTCCATTCAAATGTTGTATTTATTTATTTATTTTTAAATATATGTTTTATAAGCAGTGAAATGGTGAAGTAAGTCAATTTCCTTTTCCTTCCTTACCAAACAACAATGCATAAGATTCAAACTTTCTTTTCCCCTCTCTCTCAACAATCGACAGTAAAAGAAAAATAAATAAATAAATTTAAAAAGAGAGAAAATCCGAAAACATTAAAGTGGGTATAAAAAATGGACTTGTATATCATTATTCAAAAATAAATAAATAAATAAGTATTCACATAATTCATCACACATTCCTATTATTCAAAAAAAAAAAACATAAGTATTCTCTAGAAATTTAACAGCTATATACCAAGATACATAACTATACACACTATATTAGACTTCTTTCTAAACCAAACATTAAAAGCTTAATGTTTAATCTAATTATTGAAAATTCCAAGACCAAACATGAAAATTTCAAAGCATTAAAGAAATCTAAGAGAGTTCATTTATTAACCCAGAACATTCATTAACCCACTGCAATTCAAGAAAGAAAGTGAGGAACTAATAAAGAATTGCAATGGAGAGACCTCCAAACCTGAGTATCTGCTCAGAAGCAAAATTAAAGAAATCTGAGACAAAAGGATAAAAAGAAAACACAATTAGTAAGAGCACTCCTCAACACTAAAAATGTATACGAATCTATTTTTATGTTTGATGAGTAAGAATATGACCATTGATGATTAATGAGAACCTCACCCATTTGACTAAGATGAAATAAAAATGATTGTTGACATGAAATATAATTGTAAGAAGGCAGAGTGAGGTTTAATAATTGCAATAAATAAAAATTAATTGACACAGAATTAACAACCTCATAGCATATCTTAGTTAACAACCTACTTTAAGAAGTTCATCTGTGAATGAATATCATAGATAGGGAAATTGAACTACTACAAGATAAAAGACAAATTATATTTTTTAACAATCTTCATCATTTTTCTCTATTGGCCAAAATGTAGAATATCGCAATACATGAATTTGTAGTTGATTCTATATACTAATTTTGCATTGACAACAATTAAATTCTTATGGATTGTATTGCCCACTTTTCTTACTAATAACTAATCTATACCACAAAAAAAAAATTATAAAAAAATATAAATTACACCACTTATGAATAAAATATTAGCAAAACTTCAATATAGAAAAACTACAATAAAAAAATTTTAATTACTCCAATGAGTTATACTACACAGTAGCTTATTTAATCACAAAGATGTTTCCTTTCAATTTCCTTTTGCCTTCCTTTTTCTCGTATACCAAACAACAATGCATAAGATTCAATCTTCCTTTTCCTCTCTCTCAACAATAAATAGCCAAATCGGAAAAAAAAAATGAGAGAGAAAGAAAATCCAAAAAAATAGAGGTCAAAATTATATTTTGTTATACTACACAGTAGCTTACTTAATCACAAATATGTTTCCTTTCAATTTCCTTTTGCCTTTCTTTTTCTCATGTACCAAACAACAATGCATAAGATTGAAAAGTACTTTTTATCAGAAGGAACTTTTGGTTTTGAATTACAAAGTAATTAAGCTTTCTAAAGCTGTTCATGAAGAGGAAAGATGATTTTTTATTTTTGATTTTACAAACTCATCATTTTGTTACTCATAAAGAAAAGTGATTGATCAGCACTTCAAAATTTGGAGAAAGTTTTCAATTTGGCTCATAAATAATCATTCTATCAGAGAAAGTTCTTTGGACAATTGGTATTGAATCTAAACTCAAAAAAGATGGTTAATATCATTTAAAATCCTGGTATGAACAACATCAAAAGAATTAGATGAGCAAATTAGATTGTATGTAAATTATAGTATAAAAGGAGAAAACTACTCCTATGAAGCTCCTCAAAATTGGATAGCATTATCAAAAATAAAAAATTGATAAACTACACTGACCACCGGAAGTATAAAAAAAAATACACTAAATTCTCACAAGTTTGAGATAATTACACCCCAAAAAAAATGAAAAAGAAAATCCAAAAAAATAGAGATCAAGGTACTAACCAGGTCGAGAAACAGCAATCTGGAAGACAAAAAACGGAGATCAAAACACAATCAGAAATCAAAAAAAAAAATTGAAAAAGAACAAAATGTGACCATTGATAATTAAAGAGAGCCTCAACCCATTTGACTATGATGAAATAAAAACGATTCTTAACATAAAATCCATTTTTCCTTATCCCCCATTTGAGAGAGAGAGAGAGAGAGAGAGAGAGAGAGAGAAGTGGGTCATCTAATTAATGTTAAAAAAGAACTAAGAAAAAACACAACACAATTTTTTTTTGCTCTAGGAAAAAACAATGGGTGAGGTCAGGAAGAGCAAAATAAATCTGAGATAGTAAACAACAATGCATATGATTCAAACTTCCCTTTCCTCTCTCTCTCTCTCAACAATCAACAGTCAAACTAAAAAAACAAAAACAAAAAAAAGAGAAAGAAAATCCAAAAAACAGAGATCAAAACACAATGTGACCAATTAAAGAGAGCCTCAACCCATTGTGTTTGGTCAATCCAATTAATGTTAAAAAAGAACTAAGAAAAAAACACAACACAAATTTTTTTTTTCCTTTGGCTTCAGATTGTGTTTTGATCAAACAATAACGCATATGATTCAAACTTCCTTTTGTTCTCTCTCTCTCTCTCTCTACAATTGAAAAAGAACAAAATGTGACCTATTAAAGAGAGCCTCAACCCATTGTTTTGGGTCAATCCAATTAATGTTAAAAAAGAACAAAGAAAAAAACACAACACAAATTTATTTATTTATTTATTTTTGCTTCAGATTTTTCTTGCTTGAGATAGTGTTTTGATCAAACAACTACACATATGATTCAAACAACAATGCATATAATTCAAACTTCCTTTTCCTCTCTCTCTCTCAACAATCAACAACCAAACTAAAAAAACAAAAACAAAAAAAAAAGATAAAGAAAATCCAAAATACAGAGATCAAAACACAATGTGACCAATTAAAGAGAGCCTCAACCCATTGTGTTGGGTCAATCCAATTAATGTTAAAAATGAATTAAGAAAAAAACACAACACAGATTTTTTTATTTTTTTATTTTTAGATTGTGTTTTGATCAAACAACAATGCGTATGATTCAAACAACAATGCATATGATTCAAACTTCCTTTTCCTCTCTCTCTCTTAAAAATTGAAAAAGAACAAAATGTGACCAATTAAAGAGAGCCTCAACCCATTGTGTTAGGTCAATCCAATTAATGTTAAAAAAGAACTAAGAAAAAAACACAACAAAGATTTATTTATTTTTTATTTTTTTTGCTTCAAATTGTGTTTTGATCAAACAACAACACATATGATTCAAACAATAATACATATGATTCAAACTTCCTTTTCCCCTCTCTCTCTCTCTCAACAATCAACAGGCAAACCAAAAACCCAAAAAAAAAAAAAAAAAAAAAAAAAAAAAAAAAAAAGAGAAAGAAGATCCAAAAAACAGATATCAAAACACAATGTGACCAATTAAAGAGAGCCTCAACCCATTGTGTTCAGTCAATCCAATTAATGTAAAAAAAGAACTAAGGAATGAAGCTTATATTGGTGCAGTGCGAGGCAAAATGACTGCACCAATCTGTTAGACAAATTGACATTAGTTCTAGGCCATAAAGATCACTTATCTAGTAAACATCTAAGGACATATCCAATGAAAATGGAATAAATCTAATGTGCTGTGCAATATATTTTAAAGCAATTTCATCCTAAATAGTGAAGCTACTACAGGAATGGAGATTCCATTAATCTTTGGAATATGAGCAAAACATAGTCATCTCAAAAACTCTTTTTTTTTTTTTTTTTGTTGATAAATAGTCATCTCAAATGTTAGTCCATTTGACTAAGATGAAATAAAAATGATTCTTAACATGAAAACGAACTAAGAAAAAAGAAGTGGGTCAATCCAATTAATGTTAAAAAAAAACTAAGAAAAAACACAACACAAATTTTTTTTTTTTCTTCAGATTATTTTTTTTTTTTTGGCTTCAAGAAAAAACAATGGGTGAAGTCAGGGAAGAGCAAAATAAATTACTAATGGGCGGGGAGTTATTGCCAGGTAAGAGGAGTTACTTTCAATACGAACAGCGTAGTAAGGCTCAGGTATAACCCTTGCGATTAGCTGTTACCTCTTTTCAAGCTCAAATGTGCCACAAAGAGCAATGAAGCTTCTATTGGTGCAGTGAGAGGCAAAATGACTTCACCAATCTATCAAACGAATTGGCATCAGTTCTAGGCCATAAAGATCACTTATCTAGTAAACATCTAAGGACATATCCAATGAAAATGGAATAATTCTAATGTGCTGTGCAATATATTTTAAAGCAATTTCATCCTAAATAGTGAAGCTACTACAGGAATGGAGATTCTATTAATCTTTGGAATATGAGCAAAACATAGTCATCCTTTTTTTTTGGGTACTTCGGAAAGAAAAAACATAATCATCTCAAAAGCATTTTTTTTTTGCTGATAAATAGTCTTCCATTTTTTCCAATCAATGTTATGTTCAATCATTTTTTCCAATCAATGTTATGTTCCATTTTTTCCATTAATCTTTTTTTTTTTTTTTTTTTTTTTTTTTTTTTTGCTGTGCAATACATTAAGGTTATGTTCAATCAATGTTTGGATCATTCAAAAATTTTCATATAAATTCAAGTAAGTTACTGTTATTTACTTTCTGTTACTTAGGAGAATCATAAATAGATTTTAATTTTTAAGTCAAATTGTTGTATGTCAAATATTTAAGTCAAATTTTTGTATGTATAACACCATTAAAATATTTAAAAACATAGTTTAAATTGAAAAACATACTTTAAAAACATAGTTGTAATATGAGCAAAACATAGTCATCTCAAATGCTACAATAAGAAACATGAAAGAGCAACAAAAATGCGTGAGGAGCATTCACAAGTGTAAATAAAAACAAACAATTATGTAGCGGATAAAATAATCATATCATACCTTTCGATGATAGAACCTCGTGGATAAATCACGTGCTTCCAGAGTCTGATAAATCAATCCCAGCAGTGGGGTGATATTACAATGGTGAATATCACCCACACAAACCACAGTGCAATTGACTTGATCGTTGTTTCTTGGGAGAGAGTCAGTTTATGGGTAGAAAACAAAACCTACGTTGTTTTCTCTCTTGGTTACCCATAACCATATATCAGATATATATTATATTTATCTCATTTATCCATTGGTTAAATGAGATAATATCTGATATCTATATCATCTATCCATATCATGATATGATAGATATATATCCTGAGTGGCTCATCCAAATAGGTTTGAATTCAAATTCAAAACCCATTTGGATGAGGTTCAAAAGGTTCTAAGGGTCATGCCACATGGGCGCCCAATTTCTAACAACAAGTTTAAATTGAAAAATTGAAAATTGAAAATTGAAAACGCAGAATAAGTTTTAGTTACCTTGCTTTTGATTGACCTCACACTGAAGTTGGAAGCATTCACAAGTTTAAATTGAAAAATGCGGCTATGCGAAGCCTAGACCGTGGCTGTCATATTTACTTGATAAACCCATTTTTTTCGCTCTAGCAAATTGTTCAGATCAGCATCAGTAATTGATTTCATGAGCCTACAGATACCCAAGAACATGAAAGAGTAGCAAACACTCATTTGGCTTTAATGTTGATACCCAAGAACATGACGGGATGATGACAAAAAAAGAAAAGAAAAACAGAGCTATGAACTAGGGAAGAAAACAAAGGTAAAAAAATGAAAGTAAAGAGATAAGAGTTCCTTACCTGGGTTTCTCAGAGCTTTCTTCCTTCTTCAAAGCTTTCTCAGAGCCATATGTGAAGTGTAGCATACAAATAGGGGTGAGCATGATCCGGATTGGGGTAAAACCATGACCAATCCGTTATCTACGGTTCCTGAAAAATTGGAACCAATCCAATCCGTTTAAATCATGGAACCAATCCGAACCAATCTATTTAAATACGGATTGGATCGATTTAGGACCACGGGTTTACATAATTAAATAACAAAATATATATATATATATATATAAAACACTTTAATTTCATAAAAATATAAATATAGTATCATATTAGTTTTACAATAGCAACATGTCTTTTTATAATAGCGACATATTGTTCTAAAATTTAAACAATCATAAAAAAACTGGTTCCACCGTAAGTATTTAGACCATTACAAATTAATACTAAAAACTAACAAACAAAACTAATAAAAGAAGATACTAGCAAGTTTAGGATTAGATTTAAGTTTTATATGAAATAAGAGAAGATACTATGTAGGAGAGTGTATAATAAAAATATAAATTATTTGTATACGGTCCGGATCGGTTCCAATCAGGAACCATGGGGTTTAATCCGAAATCAATCCGTGAATTACTGATTTTTAATTTTTCAATCCAGAACTGAATCACGGATTCAAAAAACCAATCCAAACCTACTGGACTGGATCGGGTTACGGATTTCACGGATTTCTTGCTCAGCCCTACATAGAAATCTGGAGTGCAGTGGGTTGGTGAGAGGTGATAGGTAAACAAATCTGGACCATTGAATTTTAGCCACTGATAAATCTAGACCACTGAAACTCTTTTCAATCTCAACTATTGTTTTTAAATTAGACAGATCTGGACCATTAAAGATAGTTTGTGAGAGATATATTTTTACAAATAAATCTGAGCCATTACTTTTTAAATTAGATAAATCTGAATCATTAATTTGAGAGACATTTTCAAATGAAACCTGCCATTGTTATATAGATATATAAATATATATATATATATATATATATATTCTGGATTCATCTTGAACCCTCTCCTCTGTATATATCAGATCTGGTGGAGAGAGTCTAGGGTTTTGATGTTACCAAGTAGCAAAAAACAAAAAAGCAGGGATCGCGAATCAGCCCGACGACACTAGTCTCGTGGAGCTGTGGCAAAGGTAGAGGAAGCGGTTCCTCCTTTCCCAACGACGGTTGGCTATGCCACAGCCAGAACCCTAAGCACCGTTGTTGCTAATTAGACAAAAGATAAATCAGAGCCAACAAAGATCGCTTCACCAGATTGCTTTCAATGGTCTCAATTTGAACCAGTGAATTCGTCATCACCGATCTCCTATGGGCTTCTCGACTCCGTACGATGCCAAAGATTGGATCAATGATCTTGATGTAAAGAACACCGTCGATGGTGATCGGCATTGTCTTTGTTGTGGCAGTTTGATCGGAATTGCTTGTTCATCGACCTCAACTGCAAACCACCGTCTCGCATTGTCACTACCACCCCCAAAGAACTCATGCCTTTCTTCCAAGACATGGCGATGATTCGACATAGATAGATGTGGTGTGTGATTTCGGCAACGAATGAAGAATATGAGAGGAAATGAACAAATGTATGTGAATGAGAGAGACAGACAAAGAGCGTAGTGGTGCCCTAGTGGTACCCTAAAACCATCTTCAATCGTGTATCAACCTTATCATCAAATTTGAATTTGATGAAAAAAGATTCATTTTTCAGTTTTAACAGTTTCATCAAATAGGTATCAAATTTAGAATTTTACTTTTATTTCATCAAACTGAGGATCAATGTACCTTTCATCAAATTGCTATTCATTATCATTCGATTTTCATCACCAGATGTCTTCCCAGATGACCATCTCAAGGCGAAAGTTTGTGAAAAAATTACATTGGCCAGTCGACAGCGTGGTCATCCTCCTAATCGACCCCTCAGATAACCACCTCAAGAAAAAAAAAATTGTGAAAAATTTGCATTGATTGGTCGACCGGTAGTTTGATGAAGCCGCAAAACCTTTCATTGGAACATTTGATATCAAAGAGAGTTTTTCTTCAAATTTTTACTTAAATTTGATGAAAAAATTAATACACCATTCAAGATGCCCTAAGAGAAAGAGAGAGAGAGAGTGTGTGTGTGTGTGTGTGTGACGAGCAGATCTGAGAGAGAGTAGAGAGATCTATATGTATATAAGTGTAGTTTGGACATTCGCACTGAGCAAGGATCCTCTAAAGTGGTTTTTCCCTAAAGTTTCTTAGAGTGCTACATTGTGTGGTTGAGATTTATTAGCAAGTCACATCAATTTTTCTTATGTGACTTGCCAGTAAATCTCAACCACACAATGTAGCACTCTAGGAAACTTTAGGGAAATTTCACTCTAGAGGATCCTTGGTGGTTCGGACTAGCATGTCCTTCTGGACAATATATCTTAGAGCGGGGACTTTTGAACTTAGGAAATTTAAATTTGAATTTATAAATCGACTGTCAAAAAAAAAAAAAAATCTAATACAATATTTAGTGAAGAAAAGTGATATTTAAATTCAAAAATTAAACTCACTTTTTAAGTACAATAATCAAGCAATCAGTTACTCTCATATGATATTTCTCTCTCTCATATTTTTTAAAGGATAAATTACACTAACACCCCTGAGGTTTATGCTTATTACAGTTTGCCTCTCACATTTTGAAAATTACATCTCCCCTTGAGGTTTAAAGTTTCATTACAGATTCCCCCTTTAGCAATTTAATTTTTTTAAATACCAATTTTGCCCTCATTGGGTAAATTACATTGACACCCCTCACATTTTAGAAATTATAATCGTCTCCCTAAGGTTTAAAGTAGCATTACCAATTGCCCCCTTGGTTAGTATTAGTTGAAAAAAAAATTCATTGGAAAAAAATTATTTGAAAAAAAAAATTAATTGAAATTTTTTTTGTTAGTAAAGTTTTTAAGTTTCTATTTAAAAACCAACGTAAACTCATTTTTTGAACTTACGTTTTTTCCTCAAATTTACAAACTGAGAACCATTTATAAACCAAAAAAAAATTATCAAACAAGTTTTTATGATATTTTTTAAAATTTTTGAAAATATAAATTGAAAATTGAAAACGAAATGGTTACTAAACAGGCTTGATGGTAAAAATATCGTAAAATTAACTAATAATTAAATAAGTTACCAACGTAAGAAATGACTTATCAAAAGATTCTTAGGCTATGTATGCTTTGATTTTTAGAATTTTTTTTAAATTAAAAATTAATTTAATAATTATCAATGGGGGGAACAAATTATAATTAAGAAATGATTTTTTTTTAACAAATAATAATTTAAAAATTAATTTAAGGGGGAAATTGTAATATACAGAAGCCTCACAGGGTGTCAGTGTAATTTTACCCTTTTTATAATTATCAATCAATCATCTCATTTATACATTATTAAGGTGTCGTTTGGGAAGTAGGCTGACTTTTTGACTTTTTTGACTATTTTAACCTGGGGCTAACAAGCTTTTTAGCTTTTTCGATTTTTTGGTGAGGTGTCCACATATTAAATGACCGAACTGCCCTTTAGTGTTTTACATTTCCACTCCTAACCGTACGTCAATGTCGTTGTACTTTTTTTTTTTTTGGATGCGACGCATTTGTCATTTCTTATGGTCTTTTTTTTAACTTATATTTTTGTCATTTTTATTTTCTTTGTATACATTAATTTGTTTTTATTTTTCAAATATGATTTTTCATGTGTTTTATTTATTTTTAAATCACGTGGCAAATGCTAATTTTTGTCTTTGATTTTTTATTTTTTTTGGATGAGGCATATATTTCTGGTTCTTTTTTTTTCATTTACGTTTTTGTCATTTTTATTTGTATACATTAATTTGCTTTTATTTTTCAAAAATAGTTTTTCATGTGTTTTATTTATTTTTAAATTACGTGGAAAATGCTAATTTATGTTTTTAATTTTTTTTTTTTGGATGAGGTGTATTTTTCTGGTTCTTTTTTTTTTAATTTACGTTTTTGTCATTTTTATTTGTATACATTAATTTGTTTTTATTTTTCAAAAATGATTTTTCATGTGTTTTATTTATTTTTAAATTACGTGGCAAATGCTAATATATTTTTTTAAATTTTTTTTTGATGAGGCGTATTTTTGATGTTTTTTTTATTTACGTTTTTTTCATTTTTATTTTTATTTGTATACATTAATTTGTTTTTATTTGTCAAAAATAATTTTTCATGTGTTTTATTTATTTTAAAATTACGTGGCAACTGCTAATTTCTGTTTTTTATTTTTTGGTTGGATGAGGCGTATTTTTGTGGTTCATTTTTTTTTTCATTTACGTTTTTGTCATTTTTTTTTATTGTTTTCAATTTGCTTTTTTTTTTTGGGTTTGGAAAAAGCTTTTTTATGTTTTTTTTTTTAACATGACGTGGAAATTGTAAATTTGGGTGTTATGTTGTTGTCCTTTTTTTTATAATATATATTAATTTGTTTTTTTATTTTGGAAAAGGCTTTTTCATTTTTTTTTTAAATGACGTGGAAACTGCTAATTTCGATTTCTTTTTTTTTAATTTTTTTTTGAAAAGGTTTTTTCATGTTTTTTAATTTCAAATGTCATTGAAAATGCTTATTCCAGTTTCATTTTAATGTGTTTTTTGTTGTTGTTGTTGTTGTTGTTGTTGTTTTTATTTATTTATTTTTGTTGGAAAAGGCTTTATTATGTTGTTTTTTTTTTCAAATGACCTGAAAAATGATAATTTCAGTTTTTTTTTTTGTTTTTTGTTTTTTGAAAAGGATTTTTTATGTTTTTTTTAAATGACGTGAAAAATGCTAATTTTGATTTTATTTTATTGACTTTTTTTATTTTTGATTTTTGATTTTTTTTTGGAAAACGCTTTTTCATGTTTTTTATTTTAAATGACATGGAAAATGCTAATTTTGGTTTTATTTTATTGTCTTTTTTTTTTGGTTTAATTTTTGTTTTTTTTTTTTGGAAAACACTTTTTCATGTTTTCTATTTTTAATGATGTGGAAAATAGTAATTTTGATTTTATTTTTATGCCTTTTTTTTATTTGTTTTATTTTTTGGAAAAGGATTTTTTATATTTTTATTTTAAGATGACGTGGAAAATGATGTGGCTATTTTTTCCACTAGTGGTACGAATTGGTGCTTATGTGAAAG